CCCTTTAAAAAAAACCCCCTCCCTGTGCCCCTGCCGTTCCAGCACTGGCTTGGTGACTGGCTCCTGCTCTGTGCGCCCCCCTCAGCCACAGACGCAGGACGCTGCCCGGGCAGCACAGCCCGATTGTCACCGGAGGGGGCAGGTGAGGGCTGTCGTCATCTCTCACGGCTCTTCTTGTATTTAGGCTGCTCAGACAGCGGAGGACGCCATGCAGATCATGGAGCAGATGACCAAAGAGAAGACCGAGACCCTGGCCTCGCTGGAGGACACCAAGCAAACAAATGCCAAGCTACAGGACGAAGTAATCAGATTTAAATGGCTTTTCGTATAAAGAACAGCTTACCGACTTCCGGGACCTGTGGCCACCAACGGGATCGCCTGCGTTTGGCCAGCGTGGCCTTACGCAGGTTTGATCAATGTTAGTAGAGTCGAATGGACACCAGAGCCGTGAAATACCAGATAAAAGTGTGTGGCTTCCTTCCCTGGTAGGGCCAGCCTTTAAACACTGGGGGAACACCGCAGTGGCATGGATGTCTCTGGTAACCTCGTAGTGAGAAGAGGCGCTGAGGGCATCCTCTCCTTTGTCTCCCTGGTCTCCACATGTTTTGTGTCCCCTCAAGCCACTCCTAATTTTAAGCTATTCCATCCCATCCCTCAGCGCTGAGTTCCGGGCGGGCCTTTCCTTGGCCTCAGAAGATACGAGGCTCTCGCCTATGTCATCTTGAGTTAGTCACTTCTGGAGCTGGGACAGATTTGGGCATCAGGAAGTCTTTATCCCACTGTGGGTGGGTCCTTCTGGTGCCCTCCCTACGGCCCCGTCTCCAGCTCCCAGCTCATACCCGCCCTTTCTTTGGAGCACCTTCACCTACATCCCGAGCCCATGGGTTCTCCCAAATGGTTATGTAAAAGTTCTAGAGAACTTCAGGTGCTTTTGAAAAGTGATGGGCAGGTACAACATGAAGGAAGGCAAAGGGAGGCGTAGCCTAGTTAACACCTAGTGGAAAGACAGGACGGCTCACTGTGGAAGATCAGAGATGGAAATCCGTAAAGACAGGAGCCGTTCGAGCTCATTATAGGGCAAACAAACAAAACTCCCCGTAGAAGGAGGTGCAGTTTATAGGGCTGACAACCCTAAGAGAAGACGTAAAGTAAAAATAGAAACGCATCGGAAAATCATGGATGATGATCCAAATTAGAAGCTGAAGTCCACGAGGAGGTTTTAGACTCTCCAACCTGCGGGCATAGACTCCGAGAAGAGTGTTCTTCCACAGCAGACCCGTGATGTCTTTGTTAGAGCCAGAGTATGGGGCCGGACGAGCCATTGGCCCCACTGTGACATTTTATTATTGTTACTTCTCGTATGGTACATCTCTTAGGTCAGAGGGCATTAAAGGAAGATGGTAACGTTACAACTACCGAGACACTTTAGATCCCCTGACGGCGCCATGCAACGTGGCAAAGGAGCAATGACAGGGGGCCCGGAAGGCCGGCACGGCACCCAGAACACACCCTGTGTGAAGCATGGCCCAGGCCAGCCCCATGGGGGCACTCTGCATGTACAGCACTGGCCACCTGCTGCAGCCCGTGACGGTCACCCCACCCATTCCTTTAGTGGGGGCGGGACTCTAGCCGGTGTGCTCCCGGCGTGGGTGGTGCAGCCTGGCGGCTGGGAGTGCCCTTCAGTCTCTCTCCATGGCCACGTCCTCTTCAGATCGAAGGTCAGGTGGATCGCTAAAATGCTTCCGTCTATACATATTGTTTTTGGAGAGGTTTTTCTGTAGGGCATGGGTGCAGAGACAGACAGAAAGCGAGAAATCACTCCCCGGGGTGATCCCTTCTCCTCCATTCTCCTCTCGGGATCTTGGACATGCACGCACACACGCCCAGCGTGAGTTTAAGCCACCGGGTCCAGGACTCGAACTGCAGTCAACTACATGGGAGTCCTGCGACATAGCCATTACGCCATCTGCTGGTCCTCCGATCTCTATATATTTTGATTCAAATAATCCTTGTCATGAGGGCCATGTAAATGCGGTCCTGACACTAAATCTTTCATATCATAAATGAGAAGCTGTGGGGAGGAAAGGGGTTTCTTTCATCTAGAGAGCAACCCTCATTGCTGCCTCATTTACTCCTTGCTTTCAAGATGGATCGTGCTTGAATGGCAAATCCAACAATCAGTCCTGAAGACCGTGTGCAAGATGAAAGACCACCTCGGTTTTCATGCACGAGGCAGTTTAGTTGGGCATCTCAGTCAGGTGTGCAGGAAAAGGCGGAGGATGCGAGAGGAGAGCGAGGTTTGCAGTTGATAATAGACTTGCTATTCGTAATCTCTTCACCCAAGTGACTTTTTTTTTCCCGAGTGACTAATTTGATTTCTCTTTTAATACATATTTTTATGAATAATTTGTCCAGTCCTGTCACTGGAAAATGTAGTCATTTCATCATGTTTTTTTCTCTTGGTCTTTAAGTTGGACACACTTAAAGAGAACAACTTGAAAAATGTGGAAGAGCTGAACAAATCCAAAGAACTTCTGACGGTTGAGAATCAAAAAATGGAAGAGTTCCGGAAAGAAATGTAAGTGTCCCCTTTGAGAGAAAGGACGGAACTTACTTTAATTCGCAAAAGCGAAAACACTCCTAATTTACTTTGAAAACATTTGCAAAGTCCATACGGTAAAAAATAATAGTCACCCCTTGGGCCTCACACTACCGCATAGCCCGCAGGAGCCCCAGTGAGCACTGCGTGCTCAGAACGATGGCTAAGTGAAAGGCTCAGAATGGAACGTGTGCTGGCCGATGAAGCAGCCAGTCCTCGAAGAGTTGTGCTTCAGTTTTGCCTAGGAAAACACGTCATGGCTTTTCCAACCACCCAAAATACGTTTGAGATTCAGACGTGCCTTTGTAAGGCTTTGAGCAAATGCATTTAGAATCAGGTTCCAAGTGGTATGTTTACAATCTAGCCACCTTAACGGTCGGAAACAGCACAACCCCCTCAAACTCTTTGTGTTAAAAAACCAAACACACACCATGTTAAATAGCTTTCAAGATTGTCAGTTTCTTGATTTTAAGAGTAATCAGATCTCCTGGCATGGGATGGCAGTGGCCAGCATTTTGGAACATAGGTTCCCTCACCCTTGGCTGCTGCTCATTTCGGGAGAAGGGCTGCTCGTATTCCCTCTCTGGGGCCAACGCGGCCCTTGTCTGTCGGGCTCAGGCTCAGTTATTTTAATGATTAGAGATGAATATTTATCTGGCGTTTCAAATGATGGTCACAATGTAGATTTCATTTGGTCTTCTGTTGTGGTGACTACACACTTAGTTGTGCAAACCTAAAAGCCTAAAGCCAAGTCCATCTGGTGACCATTTGAGCATGTCCTTCGTGCTGGGTACGATTAAGCCAGGAAAGACATGGGGGTTAATTATATAGGGTCCCTGCCCTGCAAGGCTGTGCGTCATTTGCATCAGCTCTAATAACACAGATCGATGACATTCCAACAAAAATGAAAGCATCAGTTCAAAATTGTTATTAAGTCACTACCGTTAATACTGTTCATTCCTCATGCTTAGGTTAAACTTTTGGGTTGTCAGAAAAGTCATGCCTTTTTGCCTTTTTTTTTTTTTTAAGCAAGATTTTTGCTGTAAGGCATGTGCACGTGCCAGAGAGACAGAGAGAGAAATCGAGAAATCACCCCCCATGGGGGAAGGCCATACCACAGTCCCTTCTCCTCCACTCTCCTCTTGGGATTTTGGGCATGCACATACACGTACCTGGTGTGAGTTTGAAGCTGCCGGATCCGGGACACAAATCGCAGTCAATTACATGGGAGTCCAGTGACATAGCCATTATACCATCTGCTGGTCCCAGTGACACATTTTTACATAGAAATGACATCCTGACTTCTCCGACAACCTCATAGTAAGTGTCTCGTCCCTCTGGGAGCTCTTCAAGTTCTAGAAATACCTCGACATGGGCTACTGTTAACAGTTTGAGGAGAGACACAGCTCCCAGGGTTGGTGACAGACACCCTGCCTCGGTTTCCGTTGTGATGCTGTTTCTCTAGATCATGTCTCGGCCGTTCCCAGCAGTCCCACGTACAGAGGCTTACGTATTGCAGTTGCGGTCATGGTTGTTAGGAGAGACTTAGGTTCCTCTGGCCTGCCAACCCGTAATGACACAAGTAGATACCAGGTCACCACGATGGGGGAACCGAGTCTGCCCGTCCTCACGGTAAGGGCTTTGTTCTGTCGGGGTGGGGTGAAGGCGCCGTAGGCCTTCCCATGACACAGTACTTGTGCTGCACCGGAGTCTTCGGAACACGAGCTTGACTGGGTCCATTTGTGTCACACAGGCAGCGGGTCAGGGCGGAAGCTCGCAGCAGGAGAAGACCCCTCCTCCAGCCTCCCCCTGTCATAGCCCCAGCTCTGCACTCACAGTAGGTAACGGAGGGGCAGGGCCACACTGGATCCAGCCGAGAGAGCGCTTGGGGCTTAGATGAGTTTTTTCTTCTGGGCCATGCCCGTGGCATAGTGGTTAAAGGGAGGCGGATGTCACGTGGCCAGCCATAGTTTGAATCCTTGCCTCGGTGGCTTGAAAAACATGCCAGATTTGTGTGTGTGACCGAACTCCTGACAGGATGGAGAAACGGAAGAGAGGGGTTTGCAGCATGACCATGCTCCATAGGGGGTGCATCCTTCCTCCCCCATCTCTCTGGGAAGACTCCTCTCTCCCATAGTACTGTCGATGCTTCCGAGTCATCCTTCAAGTGCTCTGAGGTCACCTTTAGCAGTCAGAGTCCTCCCTAAACCCTGTCACGTGATGCACCCCCAGTTAGTGTGGGGCCAGTCTCGGCCCTGCTGAGATCCATGGTTTTGCGCCCCCTTTTTTGTATGGTCCCGTCGGCTGGTAGAGGCTTAGCTCCGAGGAGTCTGACCCAACGCTGCCAGCCCACCTTAGCCCGGCCTCCTTCCTGGGGGCGGTGGCCCAGGGAGGAGGGACTGCACCCAGTGCACACACAGCCAGGGCTGCTTTTGCTCTGTCCCATCAGACCCAAGAGCCTCAAGTCTTACAGGGAGCAGGAGCCAGTGGAGGAGGAGCGGGAAGTGGGCTGGGAGAGCCCCGCCCCTGCCTCGTGCCCTGTTCTGCACTGGCCACAACTAGGGACCGTCTGACGTGAGCGGACTCTCGCGAGGACAGCGCTTTTCCAGAACACAGTGGTCACTTCGCCACTCCCTAATCGTGTCCTCAAAGCCAGAGAATGAGCAGCCGTGGGATTCTCCTACGGCCCGATGCACACAGGAGGTTCTTCATGTCCTCCAGGAACTTTTGGTGTTTTTCGCACTGAGAGGAGAGCAAGCGACCCCAGTGTAGACTCAGGCTCAGGTAGGAGCCACCCCCGCGGGTACTGCCTTACCTGGAAAGCAGCCCTGGCCACTAAGCACGCTGTTCCCTTTCCTGCCCACTCAGCTGGTTTCCGGAAGCCTCAGGTTTGGTCAGCCAGCTCCTGTGTTCAGCTGGAGAGTGACAATAAACCGTTCGTCCTGGGGGTATAATTTTAGATCTAGGGAAAACTTTACAAGCTATTTTTTACTAGATTCTAAATCTATAATATTTTACCATGATAATGCGACTTATAACAGGGTCATAAAATGTTTGCAGGTCCATAATGTTTATTGTGTGTCCGTTTAAAAACAACACAGCCTTCTGTTTCAAGATATCTTGTCCTGCAGGAGGAAAAAAGTAGCTTTAAAAAACTGGAAATATTTTTGTAGGTAATTTTAGAATTATTCTTTGAGTATCTCCAGAATTTGGGCTTTTAGAATCTCTTTCCTCTGTGAAATGCATTTACCCAGCTCCCCCTCGAGAAAATGGGAAATGTGTGATATATTTGAAGCATGACCGAAATGCACCTGCCAGTTATAACTAGCTCTTCTGGTCCTGCTCCTTACTGGCTTTATGATCTGGGGCAAGTCTTTTCACTTCCCAAACATTTGTGTTCTCATCTTAAAACTGCAACAGTAACATTCGCCTCCATTCGCCTCCTCGGACACGAAGATGCCCGGGAAAGTATTTTATAAATATTAAAGCATTCAGTACAGTTTTACCGGGTCAGTGCTTAGGACCCTGGGGGCATTTTTAGATGATTTTTCTTTGACTTATTGTTTTGCTGTTTCTTCCTGGGGCCCTTACTTTAAAGCATGGATTTCTGAAAACTTTTAAAAGATGACAATCTTGAAGAGAAAAGGGGAAGTACCAGGTTAGCACTTTGACAAGGCCACACGAATGCCGAGCCCAGGTGGCCCCTCATGAAGACAGTGACCACCTCGGGAATAAAATGTCTGCTTTAGGGTGATTTGTCAAGGACTGGTGGACTTTGGCCAGAAGACAAACGTTAGCTGTGATGTGTGTATGTGTGTGCCTATATATACATACAGTGTGTGTGTGTGTACATATATGTAGTGTATGTGTGTGTTCGTGTATGTGTATATGGTCCACAACTAAAATCTAGTCTCCCAGTTTTTGAATGACTAATTACACGAGGCTAAAATTTCCTCTCGAGTCTAATTCAGTATGTGAAGAGAATTTTTGGGTAGATTTATTCCCCCAGGTCTTGATGAGGTCGTCCCAGTAGGCATGTTAGAGGTAGCTGGAGATCTAACAGTCAAGAAAACTGAAGGCGCCAGGCCCTGCCACCGTGAGACAATGGAAGGTAAAATTAGACGTGTTCATGCCGGGTCGGACGGAGTCTCCCAGATGACTGGATTCGGGATTCAGCCGCACATGGCAAGCTTCGAAACGGAGTCCCGCCAGCACAGCCCTCGCTTCAGAGTCAGAAGTGAATCAGAAACCTTCCGTGGCGTAAAACTAAAGTCCAGTGTTCAAATAAAATGTTCTGAGCAGCACATGTAAACAGAATGCCTACTTCGGGTTAACTTTCATGCCGGGAAAATGTCTAATAAGTGTTTTCTGTGCTGACATTCACGTGATCGGTTAGCAGGCTGGAGTATGTTTTTATCTGCTTTTAATTACAAACTAGCATTGTGTGAAGAATACTATCAAAGCACCTGTGAGTGGAATTAGAAAACTGTATTTGCTTTGGGCATTCAGCCCTCTTTGTCCTAAATGTCATACTCAGGCTCACATCAGTACAGACACTGGTAAATGGGACCATTGGATTGTGTGTGAGAGTGTGTGAGCGCGTGTGTGTCTGTGCGGGGGCCAAAGGAGACAGATTACAGATCTGTGCCACCAGAACAGAGCGACTCGGCAGCAAATGCAATCACCTTACCAATGTCGTGGATTTCAGTGTAATTATCTAATGGAAATATTCCTGAAGACAAGAGGGCTGCCTCTCGTCGCTTACCTTACAGCGAAATTCCTTCTTCTGTGGGGTACGTGTAGGTAGAAAGGCAGACGTGGTGCCTATTAGGGTTTTCAAGTGTGCCAGTCACGGGCGGCCTCCTCCTCCTGAGAGGCCGCAGCCTCCTACCCCTCCTGTGCGGGTAGCCCGCGCCCCGTGGTTAGAGACCCAGCAGACACGTGACCCCGCTGTATTTTCCCGGCGCTGAGAGGCTGGCCGTCTCTCACGGCTGCCTTGCCTGTCCTGTTTCTATGGTAACCGTGCACTCGCTGTCCTTGCAGAGAGACCCTGAAGCAGGCAGCCGCGCAGAAGTCCCAACAGCTCTCAGCATTGCAAGAAGAGAACGTGAAACTTGCGGAGGAGCTGGGGAGGAGCAGGGACCAGGTCACGAGCCACCAGAAGGTCAGTGGGCGTCGCGGGGGCTCTCGCTCTCTCTGCAGGGGCAGCGGGGGCCGCTCAGGGCTCTGCTCGTGTGGCTGGGCCATTCCCAGTGGGGTCCAAGGGACCCGTGAGAGGTACTTCCTTGTTTTCAGGTGGGATCTAGGTAGAAAAAGCTGCTAGGACTTGGACGCAAATCGGAACTCAGATGGGTCCGAGGCGCTGTTCAGGCAGCCCTTCCAAAGAGGACAGGGTCCATGAGGCTTAGCTTTCAGAATTGTTCCAAAGCTCTGTTTTTATTTTCTCTTCCATCAAAACGGACTTGAAGGCAGCAGATCCCAAGACCGTGGGTTTGCTGTGAGAGTTGGCAACTGCTGTGAAATAGAACCCTGTTTTGGTTTAGGTTTTTAAAACATTGATGTAGTTTCTAACGGACCCGTGTATGTGCGTGCAGTCCTGAGCGTTGGTGACAGGTGAGCTGGAAGCAGCCCGTTGGCTTCTTTCAAGTACAGAGGCTTCTGGCAGACACTGATTAAACACGGGAGCCAAACCGATTTTAAGGGAGGCCGTGTTCCGGTTTTTATTTTTCTCTTAGCAGTTGAATCAAAGTGCAGTCGTTAGTCACATCCGACTCAGCACGGCAGCTGGGAACACACTCCTGAGAAACTTTCGCGGTAGAGCCACTCGCTCCGTCGCGTGGTCACGGAGAAGGACGCACTCCCCTCAGGTTGTGCCGCAGATGTTCATCTTCACTAGGACAGAGTAGTTTGGGGTCACACAGCCAGCGCCCGCTGAGGTGCGGTTTGTGAGGCAAGCAGTTTTTGGGGAGTTGATGTCAGACTCTGGCTCTTCCTGTCGCTTTCTGCCGTTTTCTCATTTCATGAAAGAGACGCCACAGGGCGCCAGACTCCGGGCCGGGGACCATGCTGTCAGTGACGGTACGAACGTTTGCAGGCAGGCACGAAGAGGTCCTCGCGGTCGCCCCGCTTAGTCCTCGCCACGACTGCGTGAGACGGGCCGTCACTACCCCGACTGTGAAAGGGAATGGAAGCATGAAGGGGGGAGTGACATACTCAGCGTCGCTCAGCCTGCGTGTCAGATGTGTGCCCCATCCTGACGTGGGTCAAGGGAGAGAATCCAAGTTTGTTGACTCACTGGGGTCACTGCCTTCTTTGATCAGTATGTGAAAAAATGGACTTCCTGCTAAACAGAAGCCCTGTGACCCGGAGGGGTTCGTTTTTCCTGGCATCTCCAGCGTCAGCCTGTCCGCTGGGACTTGGCACAGGAGGATTAGAGCTGGGCGCGGGGTCTGTCCCTGCTGTGATCCTTCATCTCATTGAACGTCGCTGGTAGCGACCGTGGATTCCATAATCGGAAGAACACACAGGGGTCATCCTCTTGCCCTACGCTATGACCTGGACAGGGCTGATGATAACTGTCCATGTCCCTGTCCCTCAGATCTGGGAGGGACTTGGGAGACAGCCTGGTGGCCCAGGCACCAGTTCCAGGGCTCCTCTCCAGCCTCGCAGCTCTGTGCTCTGTGCGGTAGACTTCAGCCAGCTTCCTCCGGCCAAGGTTTTGTGATGTACAATGTGAAATCCAGTCATTTAGCAGGGTGTTAGGAAATAGTACCTACCAGGAACCACTGGGAAAGTGACTTCCCCGTGAAGGGTGGGATGGAGCGTGAGGCTGCTTGTAGTTTCTGTGTTTTACTCAGAAGAGAGACAAAGGGGCGTGAAATCAAACTTGATGGGCTTTGTGAAGGGGACCGTTAAAAGTGGTGTTGATTTCCATGAACGAGACAGATCACTCTCCCCTTGAGATAGTTTATATGTCATTGGGGGGGAGAGAATCACCCATGTAACCTAACTTAGAAGCAGCCTTAAAGAGAAAGGATTAATTCATTAGTCTCTATTACTCTTTTTTTTTAAGTTCTTGCCATAGGGCGTGTGCGCTCTTCGGAGAAAGGGAAAGTGATTGTGGCCACGTTGCTATCCCTGCTCCTCCATCCTCCTCTTGAGATTTTGGGCATGCACGCATATGCACCTGGAGTGGTTTTGAAGCTGCTGAGGCCAGGTCTTGAATTGCAGTTGGCCATGTAGGAGTCCTGTGCCCCAACCACCATGCCACCGGCTGTCCCTGGACTCTGTTCCTTGTTTTCTGTTTTGTTTGGTTTTTAAGGTTTTTACCATAGTGGTGTGTGTTTGCCAGAGAGGAGACAGAGAAAGACAGAGTGAGGGAAAGTGAGAAATCACCCCCTAGGAAGGATGGCCACACCATAATCTCTTTTCCATTCTCCTCCTGGGATTTTGGGCAGACATGCATGCACGCATGCATGCCTGCGCACCTGGCATGATTTTCAAACCACCAGATCTGGGATTCAAACCACAGTCTGTCATCTGGGAGCCCAGTGCCTTAACCACCATGCCACCTGCTGGCCCCTGGGCTCTATTACTCTTCGTGTATAATCTCTAAGAATCTAGAGTGCTATTTTGTAAAATTATGAATTTTCACTTACTTTATATAGTTAAACCACAATAGTGTTTGGCAGAAATGCTATTTTAGGAAGGAAGTGAAAGAAAGACTTACTTTTCTTTTTTTAGAGTTTTGTTATAGGGTATGCGCACTCACCAGAGAGACAAAGACAGAGAGAAAGTGAGAAATCACCCCCGGGGGGTGGTCACGCTGAAATGCCTTCTCCTCCAGTCTCCTCTCAGGATTTTGGACACGCACACACACGTGTCTGCTGTGAGTTTCAAGCCCCCAGGTCCAGGACTGTAACTGTGGCCGGCCTTGTGGGAGTCCAGCGACGTAACCAGTGCTGGCCCTGAGAAGGAGGGGTTCGATCGTAGGACTATAGCAATACTTACTGCTTCGTTTTTAAAGTAAGCAGCAGAGGCTGGACCCAGGGTCAACGCGGACCTAGGCCCAGGGCGCGCTCCTGAGCCCCTCACGCAGCAGCGCTGTCATTCGCCGAGCACGTCCTGAACCGACGGCTCTGTCGCCCGTGCGCGGGGCCCTCACACACGCCTCTGAGGGAGTGAGAGCCTGCAGAGGACGAGGCTGAGGCTGAGAAGCAAGTGCCTTCCAGGGACACGCAGCCAGTGGGGAGCGGAGGTCTGAAATCCCGTCTGCTCCGAAGCTGTTTTCTCTGCTGCTCTTCTAGGCTGAAGATAAGACTTATTCCTATTTACTTCACGGTTAATGTTGTTAAGATAACAAAGAAAACATACGAAACGCTGTGAGGGAGGAACGGGGGAGCCGGGTTCGGAACCCTCCTCGGTCTGTCTCTCTGCCCCGTGTACTGACTGCCTAGGAAACCAGGCATCCCAGGGTCCGCTCTGCGTCTGAACGGCCCCGCCGGCATGGCTGCTGACCGGTAGGGGCTCTTCACGTCTCGAGCGCTCCCCTTCTTTCTTTTTCGTTTTTTGGAGAGGTTTTTGCTATAGGGCGCGTGCTCTCGCCAGACAGACACAGAGAGATAGAGAGACAGAAAGCGAGAAATCACCCCCCAGGGGGGATGGCCACACCGCAATCCCTTCTCTTCCATTCTCCTCTCGGGATCATGCGCACACACGCACATGCGCCCGGCGTGAGTTTAAGCCACCGGGTCCGGGACTCGAACCGCGGTCGCCAAAAAAATCTCTCTTAAAAAACAAAAACAAAAACACATAAACACACTGACTTGGTCGGCGAGGAAGCACAGCTGCCCCGAGAAGGAGGTGCGTGAGCACTGGAAGGCTCTGCTGCTCCCGGGTGGCGAGGGAAGACGGGCAAAGCTGGGAGCAGCCACCCGAGAGCGCTGGCCCTCGCTGCTCTCCCCGTCCACTCCCCCCAGCTGGGCGTGTCCCTGTGTGCGTCCGCTCCCAAGTGTGTCGTCCACAGTGACAGAGATCTTTATGAAAGGGCATACAGGGAACAGTTTCTTTATGTTTTTTTCAGTTGTAATTTATTCTCTAAGGAAGAGAGAAAGGTAGAGATCCAGCACCCCCAACGGGGTCCCGAGGCTGCGGTCTACCCCCAGCTCCAGCCGGGCCCAGGCCGTGTGCGTGCCGGGGATGGGGGGGGCTCCAGACATGAATGGCTGGCTTCCCCCGCGGGGCTCCTCACAGAGCTTCGTCTTCTGTCGTGCCGCCCTCTGGTCCCTACTTGTCTTCGTTTGTTTGTTCTACTTTTTTCATTCGTTTGTTCTGTTTTTAATTGCTTACCAGAGAGAGGCAGAGAGATGGAGAGGGAGCAAGCACCCCCTCACCCCCGTGAGGCATGGTCAAGCTGCAATCTCTTCTCCATTTCTCCTTCTCCTCAGGACATGTGCCGTGCCCGGCGTGTCCCTCAGTCTGCCAGGGCCAGGATTCGAACTGCAGTCAGTTAACCACTGGCCTACGGGGTTAATCCTGCTCTGTTTTTAGAAGAGGAAGTACAGGGTCAGCTCGGCCTGTATGAAACTGCTGGTCTCACACGGCTCGCCCCACGGTAGACGTGACGGCATCTCGGAAGCAGAAGGCTGCTGTCACAGCTGCCGGCCGATGCCCTCCGTTTCCTGCGGCTGCCCTGCGTCGGGGGTGTGGGCGGAGGCTCAGGGACGCTTACATGAGCTCTGCCGTCCTGGTCATCTCACGGCACACCTGGGAGCATTTGGTGCCTTCGCTGTGTGTGTAACCGCCACCTCCACCTAGGTCTGAAACATTCCCGTCACCTCAGAAGGAGTCCCCAAATTGCCCATCACTCCCCATTTCCTTCCCCCAGCGCCCGGCACCCACTGGTCCACTTCCTGTCTGATCTCTGACGTGACACCACAAGTGAAGAACTCCACCTGGACCTCGCGTTCAACACTGCAGTACGCAGTGTGGAGTAGGGTTACCTTCAGGCAGTGCATGTAAGGTCTATACGAACAGCTACTGACTAAATGTGACCCCCCTCCCCAATTCATGTATTGATCTTAGTGAGCCAGGCTAGCCCTGGGGCCTAGTGGTTAAAGGAGCAGGATCCCATGTGACTGGCTGCATGGTTCGAATCCTGGTGCT